ATAATTTAGCGCCTCGCTTCGCTCGGGCGAGCACCTAGCGCCTTGGGCGTTTGTGGACCTTGGTGCCTTTTGGCGCCTAGCGCTTTTTAAATCACTGATCTTGGGTGAAATTCCGTTGGCTATTTTAGGTTAGATGGCTTTTCTTAGTTTGTTAGGTTAGGCAAATCATTTACTATATTATTATGAGAGCTTTAGAGTTCTCTTTCGTTGGATTTTATGGAGGATGAAATTAGCTTTTATCCCACAACTCCTATTTATAGATATTTGGTTTGTGATCATGCTTGAAACTTTCTTGTTTTTTTATACAATGATAAGGTTTAGTCTAGAGAGGCTCTTTTTCATCTTCGATTGGGAGAAAACACAAGAGAAAAATCATATTCTATCATTCTCCCGTGTATTTGCATAAACATAAGACAAAAAGTAATTTCCTTTTGTATTACTACTAAAATATTCATACTGACATCTAAGGATGAAATTAAAATATTTGATAGATTTATATAGTATGTTCAGGAATACTATCTATCAGGATGGTTTAAGACACAAATAACATCTGATCTGCTGTGCAGTTGTCTAACACCTCATAGATTGAAAGAATGCTTTATAGGATGATCATAGGTTTAGTTATGATTTGTGAATAAAATTGTTGGAAGGATAAGAAGCATGCCTATAGAGTTAATGTAGCAGATAGGAGGATATGTTGTTGTTGCAAGAAATAATGTGATAGGAAATAATTAATATGTTTGAGGTAAATCGAATTGGATTAAAGATGAGAGCAAACTTTTGAAGATGAGAATTATTTCTTGGAAAGATTGAGACAAGTCGTTCTTGTTAATCATTGCTGTTAGGAGAGAACAACCAAAGTTCTTTTTTTTTTCAATGAGTAATGTTGACACAAATGTATATAAGGTCAGTGCAAACTTGCTTAATGGCAAGGCATAGTTTATATTGCTGGCCCTAAATTTAGGCAAACTTTAGATTGCAGCAGCATCACAATCTTAACTCCCAAGTATCTAACTTCCAGTCACTTAATTGAGAAGTGTAGTACACTTATTAACATTTCTATATAAGAAACTTGAACAATTTTTTCGGGAAAAATGTAACTTTTTGTATGTCTCTTTTTGCGTGATAAATCTGTATAAAATTACATAACACGCCTAGAAGCATTACTTTTGAGTACATAGTTTTCTTGTTTAGTAAAATATTTTGATTCCTTTTTATAGTTCTGTCCCTTCTTTCATTTGCTTGCTAATTTGGTCATGTGTATTTCTTTCTTCATTTTTTTCTCTCAGAAGAAGAAGATTTTGAACCTGCACCTCCAGGTCTAATTAGTAATCAGCCAAAAGGACAGTGGGATGATGAGGATGTGGAAGATGAAAATGTCAAAGAATCCTGGGAAGATGAAGAAGTTCCTGTGCAGGTAAGTTTAATATTTCAGTTTATAAATATATTGCACTTGGTATTTGGTAACTGTGTTCTTTAAGATTATATATTTTTACAGGCATAATGAATGTAGACATTTAGGCAACTCTCTTGCTGATGACATAATGGGAAAATTATTATGGATTAATTCTTTGCTAAATTTCAACAAAAGTTGAGCTGGTTCCACATCTATATATAAGTACATTCATTCATCAGCATGTAGATAAGTCAATATAACTGGATGTACTGACACTACATTTCATGAAAAATTATGTCAAAAGTCCTTTGGTATTTCCCCAAGGTCTTTTGTTAGTTCTACAGTTTGTCACAGAAAGTATATCTCCTGTTGGGTCTTCTTGTTCCAGAGTTCTGCTGTATCTCATGGTTGTTATTGTGATGGTTAGTTAATTTGCCATAGATGGACTCTAAAGTAGTCATGTTGCCCTCTATATAGAAGGCCTGTAAAAGAGTAAGCAACCCAATATTTCGCAATCTCCATCTGTAATTCAATTGCAGAGCATTATGTTCCAACTATTCATTAATTGGTTTGCTAGCATATGACCCAGAGCATTGATTGCTTTCCTGAAATAGTTAAACTTGTTAGTTTAACTACGCTTGCAGTGCATGACCGGATCACCTCCTTGGCTAACTCTATGATAGGTGATCGTCATGAGTTATTAAATGTTGTGTTTATTCTAGTGCTGTCGTTTGGAAATGGAACATAGAACAGAACATTGTATGTTTGTATGAGATGTTCGTTTAATTTACAAATGGGCTGATGATAGAATTATCATCCTAGATTTTTATGGATTCTTATTGGATGGCTATTCCATACACATGGGAAAAGTCTTGGTATTCTAGACAGCCAAATTGATGTGAACTCTATATCAATTGATTCAGTAGAGAATATTTAGAATAGCCATTAGCTCTATGGATTGGATAAACAATAACACAGCCATAATGTCCCAACAAGAGGATTGGATAAACAATTACATTTTTTTCAAATTTGATAGTTTAACTCTAACCTTTAACTACATATATTGGTTTTCCATTGTAATTGTACTTTAAACTTTCAAAAATATCTAGAACATTCCAGTTAGTATTTAGTACGATCACGAACTAATATTAAAAAAGTCCCACGATTGTCAGCATTGAGGATTTAGCTTCTTCATGCTAATATTCTTGCTTCAACTTGCGACTCTACTGGAACTGTAACGTCTTTTTCTAGGAACTGCATGGGGATGTCAGTGAAGGCCACATCACTATCTTCTGAGTAGCTGAGCATCTCCTGTGACACTATAATATGGTTATTCTATTCAACTACTTGAGAGTGCAAAGGTGGATATGCTGGAGCTATGTTCACATAATGTTTGATGCATTCAAGCGGCATACATCTGGGATACCGGACCGCACCCTCATCATCAGAATGCACTCTCTTGGGTCTCCTTTTAGGGCCCCTGTGAATTGCAGTTCTTGGCCTTCTTTGTGTGCAAAAGGGTTCCACTGACAGATTCTTTCTTTGTTAATTTCTTTAAACTTTTCACTTATATAGAACAGATCTTGGAAACTGTTATCTAAAAGTCAAAAGATGTGTTTTTTTTTGGTGGGATGGTTGAGCAAGAGCACCAATATTTATTTGTTTTATTAATGACATATAGGTCATGAATTTGTTGATGCAGGCACCGAAGCTAGAGACTAAAGCAGCAAAGCCAGGCCACAAAGGTGCTGGAGAGAGAGAGAAACTACCTGAAGCGAAGAGAAGTGAAATAGCTAATGAAGTTCTAGCTGATCCTATTGCTGAGAAACTTCGCCAACAAAGGTTGAAAATATGTTATGCTTCTCATATGACGTTTTTTTGGCAGATTGGCAGTGGGTATAAAGACATAAGAGTTGTGATTGGGGGAGAAAAAATAAAAAGGCCACAAACTACTAGTTGTGCGATCAACAATGCTTTATGAATTTGAGTGTTAGATAGCTAAGAAATAACATGTACAAAAAGTTTATGTTGTCAAGATAAGAATATTGAGATGGATTTGTGGAGTTATGAGAAAAGATAGAAAAAAATATTTTTATTCGTGAACAATTAGGTATTGCTTCGATAGAGGATAAAATGAGAAAAAATCATTTAGGATAATATAGTCATATGCTTAGGAGACCTCCTGATGTAATAGTCAGAAGAGGTGAAATAATTAATGTCAGTGGTACGAGAAGAAGAGATAGAGGAAGACCTAAAAAGATTTTAATAGAAACTATAAATAAAGATTTAAGTATTTTGAACTTAATTAAACATATGATTTTTTACAGATTTCAATTACGGTAAAAGATCTATATAATCTACCCTTAATAATTGGGACTTTATGACTAGTTACCTTATCTGTTTTGGAACCATGTGGTTACTTGGGCTAACATGTGACTTCTTAGCAGACTTGTTGAAGAAGCTGATTACAAGTCAACTGCTGAGTTGTTTGCCAAGAAAGGCGTTGAGAAAACTCTTGATAGCTTTATTCCAAAATCGGAGGGTGATTTTCTAGAGTATGCTTTGCTTCTCTCTCACAAAATTTGCCCTTACGAGGTTTGCAGTCTACTGTAAAAATTTATTGGCGCTTATATTGAAACTTTCTTTTTTGGCACTGATCTGCTATATTTTGTTATTTAGAAAAGCTTTCATTACATTGGTCTTCTAAAAGATGTTATAAGGCTCTCTATGACTTCACTAAAAGCAGCAGATGCGAAAGAAGTAGCTTCTTCAGTTACGGCAATTGCCAATGAGAAACTTAAGGCAGAAAAGGAAGCTAACGCAGGCAAGAAGAAACAAGGTGAGTATTAGAAACTTTGAATATTGTAGTGTTGCTAACTGGCAAGGATAGTGAGGGTACATTTTTGGTTCACAAACTGGTGCAATTTAACAGGCACAAAGAAAAAGCAGCTTCACGTAGATAAAGCGGAGGACGACTATGGCACAGCAGGTCGCTATGATGACATGGATGATTATGACTTCATGTGAATAATTAAAATGGTTCTTATTGTGTATGATTATTGAGAGATTTTAAAGAGTGGACGAGATGTATAAGAACCAGCAGTGGCTTTGAAAAAAAGTAGAACCAACAGTGGCAATTTCCAGAGCGTTCTCCAAGGCATTTAAGGTTACGGTCGAGTCCATTGCATATTTTGCTTGAGTGGCTTCATTTTCTTTTATTTTATGATGTTTTTGTATCCGTTACATCGGTACTTTTTCTTGGTCTGATGTCAGAACAAGTTTTGTAATCTGCGTGAAAACTGTAGCAGTTTTGGTTAAGAAAAAAACGTTTCATTTGTTCGATGACTATGCAAGGCACGGTAGATTTTTTGTTGTCTTCTTTTTGGCATCGCTTTGATGATTAAGACATGTCATCTGATGTACTTCTGACGGAACGGTACTTACCCTCTGTTCCTCTGGTACCTTTGGAAGGGCTAATAATGATGAGCCTTTTATCTAGGTAACGATGTTTCGATTTTCTTATCTTCTAAATTTCTTCGCAAGTTCTTGGAGAAAATATTTCATCACAAGGAAACACAAGTAATTTAAATCGTGAAGCTTAATTCATACTAAAAGGTAATTTATCCCCAAAAAATCTCAATAATGAGATTTTATGAGATGGCACTTTCATATTTATTTTTTATTAGTGGTTATTCTTTTGTTTAAAATCTCCAAAATATTTTTCAATTGGATTGATCCTTTTTTGTTGAATTGGTCGGTTTGATTCAAACCCGATCAATCCAAGGGCTTGTTCGATTTGGTTTTAGTTTAAGTCAAATTGATTCGTGTCGGTCCTTAAATGGATCGGATTGAATTTTAGGTTGAGTTAGGTTTGAATCAAAAGTTAAAGGGGAGTTATACCGAACAATTGTAACTGTAGTGTAGGTGAAGATGACCAGCGCTCCTCTCCTTTCTCGTGGTTCTCTCTAAAGATGAACAACGATTGTATCCTCCCCTCTCCGATGATTGCGATTGTATCTAAGAAGATAGGGGCTCCGACGGATATCCTATATCTGAACCTCTACTCATCACAACGCCTACCATATGTGTGTGACCTTCTAGGCCCAATATTGGCCGTGAGTCATACTTGTCAGAACTCTTTCTGACTTAGTGAATTATTATCTCCATAATAATTCACTCGACTCATCAACTACGAACGTACAAGGCCACTAAACCGTAGTCCCCATACGATACAAGGGAATATAATCTATTGGACTTGTCTGTCCTTAGTTACCATGTACTTATAGTTCCTCATTTATCTAATATCCTAGAGATCGTATATCGGGCATGATGTTGTCAGACTCATACGGTTTCTAATTGAGTCTTGCTCTAATCGGATTCTCTTGGAGAACTTTTTTTCTCTCAATCCACAAGAGAACTCTTTTTCTCTCAATCTGAATGACTCTAGCCAAGAATTTGTCTGAGCAAGAACACATAGGATATTTTTCTCTTGACACCGAGAGTGAATGATCCTCTATCGACACTCAATAGTCATCGTAAGGTTGACTACTACTCCCAATGATCGGTTGTGCTAGATCTGGAACCTCCAGACCTATAAGTTCGGTATCAAAGAGTGGAGAACTCATACAAGATATCCTTGGTATCTTAAATCTAAGGATTAGATAGACCACTAGGATTACAAAATCACTGTTTGACAATAAGGCATCATCAACCATCCAATATTCCGTAAGCGGATCAATCAGTGAACTTATTCTCTAATTAGCACTTGTATTATATCCCTAGTATCCCCACACGAGCAGCTATGAGACTAGCTGCACCCATCATATAGATAGGTATAACATACTAGTCTGTCCGGTTATCTCGATGTTCCTCTCGAGTAACTTATAACCGGGATTATTTAGGATCTGTGTTTAAAGGTAAATCGGTCTCATTATCGTAATCTCATCATGATCTGATTCCCATTGCACAGGTCCATGGACATCACAATATATTCAAGTAACAAACAATATAAAGTGATAAAATGTCCAAATATAATAAGCAAAATAGAAAGCGTGTCAAGTCACACGTGCCATCACTCACATGATTAGCTTATAGGGCATCTATGACTAGCAAAACCACCCTTTTACAACAGCTCTCTTTTCCTTTTCACGGATTTAGAAGACAACCCTTACAAGCCTCACACCTCTCTTGAATGATCACAATACTAGAAAGGGAGGAGGAGGACTCTTTGCACTTTTACAACATTTTCACACCCTGAGTTTTCAATATTTTGTTCATACTTTAGTGCCTTTTCATGCAAAAAAGGGTGGGGTATTTATAGGCCCCAATGGCTTCAGAATTGGAGCCAAAAAGTGTCACCTCCCCGGATTTCGGGGTACAGGCGGTTCCATCGCCATTATTAGGCGGTACCACTGCCTAGTACTCTTACACTGGGTGGTACCACTGCCTAGTCTAGTGGTACCACCGCTTAATAGAGCTCTCGGAGACTAAGATTTGGTGGCACCACTACCTAATAAGTGGTACCACTATTGACAGTTAATAACTACCGATGGTACCATCGCTTGACAGTTAATAACTATCGACGATACCACTGCCTAGTCTAGCCAGTACCACCACTTAGAGCACCTGGGAGATTGAGTCCCAAGTGGTGCCACCGTCGGCCGTGACTTTAGGTGTTGAATGAGCTGTTCAACTGGCCCAATTTAACCATGTTAAGGGCCTAGTTAGCCCTTAACTGAGTTAGTGGGATTACCTCCCAATCTTAACTCAACTTAAGGTCTAACTACGATAATTAAGATATTTAAACAAGTAATCTCTGTCTAGTATGTCGATTGTTCTCTTAGTGATCTTTCGGTGAATTTCTTGGCGAACTTCTGACTAACTTCCAACGAACTCTCGACGAATTCTTAGCGAACTCTCGACAAACTCTCAGCAAACTTTCGATGAACTCTCGGTGAACTTTTGGCAAACTTCTGGCACATCATCCGAATCTTCGACGTATCATCCGATCTTTGACTCCGGCCCAACATCTGCTTTATGCCTTACTGCTATCGTAGTTAATCCTACACACTTATCTCAATATATAGATTAGATCAAACAATTTATCAATTGATTTCATCATCAAAATATGAGATTCAACAATCTCCCCCTTTTTGATGATGATAATCAATTGATGATTGAGTTAACTTAACTCCTCCTATCTATATGCCATACTTAGAAAGGACACTCTTGAATTCAAGTATGACAAGCTATATTCAGTTAAGCTTATCAACATGCATATCATGATACTTATCATGATTTACCAATTCAAAATATGATACCACGTATTTATAAAAATGATGTCAAGGCTTGACATCCATTTTCAAGTCAAATGATGATAGACAATCATCATTTTCAAGTATGATACAAATTTCAAATATGAAATTTAGCAAGATGACAGTTCTTGATAAAAGATAACAATTCATCATTCCGAGGTATGATATCGATTGTAAATAGTAAACTAAGCTCATGATACCTTATCATAGACAATTATCATTCATGAAACATTTCAAGTATATACAATGCATATGAAATACATTTTGATATGTTTCAAGTATTTACGATGTGTTGCGACGTATTTGACGATTTCAATTATATTTCAAGCATTCGTAAAACATTCAAGCATTTACGACAAGATACATTTTATACATTTATCTTAAATATTCATAATGCTAATTTGTCATCAATTTGCCATATTTCTCCCCCTTTGTCATCAACAAAAAGGAGAACCATTTAACAATGCAAGTGTGGTAAAGGAAGAACCATTCAACAATACAACAAAATTAAGCAAGTTTCACACCAATTTATCCAAGCCGTAAAGAAAGGTAAGCAAAAACTTTGCATGATAACCTTTTTGGATAAGCTAATATTTTTACTCAAGGGCTTTTTGGTTCTTTTTTAGATATGCAAGTTTCTTTCTTCCTTTGTCATAAAAATAAGAAGAAGAGGAAGAAAGGTAAGGAAAGAATCCATTAAGAACCAACTTTATGAAATAATTTGAAGCAAGTCAAATTCAAAACAATAAATGAGTTTCATTACTTCAATTTTAACAAAGAGAAGTGATTCATGAAAAGGATCAAGATATCCATATGAAATTAAATCGTCAGTCTTGCAAGTAATCATCACACACTAAAAATTCATAAAATTCTTCTTTTATGGGAAGGGAGCATCATATGAAAAAGAAATCCATGAATAAAATTTAATAAATCAAATATGTTTCTCATTAAAAAATCACAAGAGTGACATCCGTGAGAGATGCATTTGTCAATGAATTCCATGAGTGAAGGGACTAAGTGTATCAAACATCATTAAGTGATGGAGCAAGGGTATGAAGCAAATTTGATACCAAGTTAAGAGGAAAACAAAATAAATTCATGAAAGCTCCATTCATGAGATGAATTAAGAAGAAGATAGTTTGGAAAAGAAATACAACAAACTCATGCCTTCAGACAATTTAACATCCCTAACTCTCTTCTAATAAAATTAAATTGTTCTTCATTTAATGGTTTTGTAAAGATATTGGCTAATTGATGTTTCGTATCAATAAACTCTAAAGGTATGTCATGATTATTAACATGATCTCTTATGAAATGATGCCTAACGTCAAAATGTTTAGTTCTAGAGTGTTGAATAGGATTTTTTGTTAAACATATTGCACTCGTGTTATCACATTTTATGGGAATATTCTTAAGGTGAATCTCATAATCTTCTAATGTATTTTTCATCCATTTAACTTATGCACAACATGCACTAACTGTTATGTATTCGGTTTCGGTCGTAGATAGTGCAACCAAGTTTTGTTTCTTGTAAGACCAAGAGACAAATGCATGACCTAAGAATTGATATATTCTGGATATGTTTTTTCTATCTATTCTACATCCATAAAATCTACATCAGAATAAGTAATTAATTCAAAGTTTTTAGATTTTGGATACCATAATCCTAGATCAGTGGTTCCTTTAAGATATCTAAGAATTATTTTAACTGCTTTAAGATGAGATAGCTTAGGATTAGATTGAAACCTAGTACAAAAAGTCATATGCTAAGCATGATGTACGGTCTAGTTGCGGTGATATATAGTAAACTACCTATCATACCCTTATAAGCTTCTTGATCAAAGCTTTCTTCACTTTCGTCAATGTCTAACTTAGTGGAGGTACTCATAGGAGTATTGATAGCCTTTGAACTATTCATATAAAACCATTTTAGCAAGTCTAATGCATATTTTGTTTGACTAAGAAAAATATCATCACTAAGTTGTTTGATTTGTAAGCCTTAAAAGAAAGTTAGTTCACCCATTTGAC